TCTTCTCCGGTAAAAACGGTCATGTTTGTCCGCCTGTTTACTCATCTATTGCTCCCCTTCATTCCCCAAATATAACACATTACATATACGTATCAATTTAATGGTGAGGAAAGGTACGAAGGAATTATCGGGGAGAGGTTACGCGGGAATTATCGGGGAGAGGTTACGCGGGAATTATCGAGGAGGGGTTACAAGGGAATTGTCCGGGAGGGGTTACGAGGGGAATTATCGGGGAGGGATTACGAGGGAATTGTCGAGGAGGGAAAAAAGGCAAGGTAAGACAAGTTAGTGGTGGACATAATGACATTTAAAAGCGTGATAAAAAGGAAGAGAGATGAGAAAAGAAATGGTTATAAAGTATAATTCTCTCTCTCTTTCTCTCTTTCTCTTTCTTCTACATTCCAACTCTAGTAATAAATAATCTTTAGCAAATCGCAACTCTTTTCTCCCTCTTTTTCTCTTTTCCTCTCTCTTGTAATTATTTCATCTTGTTCATCAACAAAGCATTCTTCTTCTCTCTTTCATTTCCCTTCCTTTCCCTCCATCATCATCATCATCCCAAGGGCGATTGTAGTCGTATTAGTTTGGTTCCCTTCTCTCTTCCAAACCATCATCATTGATTTGCACCCATTGGAAATTGTTCCTTCATTTCTTGATATTTCCACAATCTTCCCCCCTCCCTCCCTTCTCAACTCCCTCTACTTTAAACGTTCCTTACTTCTTCGCAAATATGTTTAAATCATTTTGAAACCCATACTTTTTTTTCCCTATTGCAACATTAATTCATTTAACTTATGTTACTTTGATATTATGGTTTCATCAATTTGATTCTTGTTGACAACCATTCTTAACAACCATTTTATTATAATACGACATTCATTATTGCTTCAAAATATGCGTATTTTATTATGTGACAGATAACTGAATAAAATTTTTGTGAGAATGCTAGTATTTTCTAGATTTTTTTATGAGATGAAATTTTAAAAATTAAATAATTTTGTTTGTTTACTTTAATAATTTTCTTTTTGTTTTTTTAAATATGTTTTTTGGAAAATTTGTATAAGTAAAAGTAATTAACTTATGTCAAAGTTCAGATTTTATATGAGTAAAGTGAATAAGTAATGTAAATTGCCAATTTTTTTTTCTCATTTCTTTCAATTCCTTTAGTTTTTGTAGTTTAATTTATTGTTTGTTTTGTTATTTTTAGGACAAAATGAATTTATAGTTGTGTAATTACTTACTTTATAATTACTACTTCACTTATTCATGTTTCATTGTTAATTTTAAATTGAAATAATGATTTGTCATGGGAATGTGAAATATTTGCTAGTAATATTGTTTATTTGTTTACATCGTTAACTGCTACTAAGTAATGTGCAGTAAAAACTTTGCGCCTAAGTAACGTGAAATTTTCACGCTTAATTAAGTTGACGTAAATGAAGGCGTAAATATTATGGAATAATATGAATTAATGGTAACATATAAGAAGTTGATTTATCCATGAAGTTAAAAAAGATTACTTACCTGTAAAATATTTTTATTCCTCCCACTCAATTACTTTGTTGCTTCCTAATGAAACATTTTAAATTTGCATAATTTTATTTATTGCATGAAATTATTTCATAGGTAAACTAAATCAGAGCAAAAAAGTAAACTTAATCACTGATCGTTATATCACTTATCATTAATTTTGAACTTGATAATATCTTTTTTTTTTCATAAATGTAAACAATCAATACATACGGTAGTTTGATTACATACATTTGTGTAAATGAATTAATTATTCAGTTTATATCACTGAAACACTGAAGGTATTAAAATTGGAAAAGTTCATCCTTCCAATTTAATTGCTAATTAAATTTCATCCCTTTTAATTACCATTATATACTGTAAATGTTAAATAATTAATTTGCATTTTAAATTTGAGCTTATCATACCTAAGTTTGAATTAGAAAATATTGTCCAATTTTGATTACAAATTGAATATGAATCCAATTTTCATTTCCTTGACATTAATCTTTGACCTCTCCCTCTTCCTCTCTCTCTCTCTTTCTCTCTCTCTCTCTCCCTACTCTCTCCCTACTTTTCTCCTTTTTTCTTAATAGAAATCCATGTCTGGCATTAATTATGCGTTCATTAATGAATAATACAATCGTTGAAAATACTAAGTCTTATTTCAATAATGCAATTTTATGATAGCAATATTATATGTAATCATTGAATTAAATAAGAAATAAGGAAAAATTATTTTATTTCAAAAAATGATTGACTTGAATTTTAAATTTGAGCTTATCATACTTAAATTTAAATTAGAAAATATTGTCAAATTTTGATTAAAAATTGAGTATGGATTCAATTATCATTTCTAATTTTTGATAAATATTTTAATTAATGAATGTCTTCCTTTCTTTTTTTTTCCTCCTTATATCTATCACAGAAATGATGAAAGGATGCAATATCATAGCTATTTATCAATAAATAATCATTTAAATGAAATGTCATACATCATGTCAGTATTGTAAATTAATTTTGTAAATTCTTTTTTTATTTGTTACAAATTTTCTTATTTTCTGGCATTTCTTCATTTGTTTTCTAATTATTATCAAACATTATTTATTTACTTCTCTTATCTTATCTTACCTTACCATACCTTCCCTTCCTTTCCCTTACCTTATTTTATCTTACCTTCCCTTTCATCCCTTTACCTTATCTTACCTTATTTTATCTTACCTTATCTTGCCTTACCTTATCTTCTTCTATTTTACCTTATCTTTCCTTCCTTACCTTTATCTTACCCTTTCTTACCTCATCTGATCTTTCCTTTCCTCCTTTTACCTCACTTTCCCTTACCTTATCTCATCTCATCCTGCTTTCTCCTATTTTATCTTACTTTCCCTTCTCTCACCTTACCTTCCCCTTCTTTATCTTCCCTTACCTTGCCTTATCTTATCTACCTTATCTTACTCTACCTTACCTTATCCATACCTTACTTTATTTTACCTTACCTTATCTTATTCACCTTATCTTACTCTACCCTACCTTACCTTATTTACCTTATCTTATCTTACTCTACCTTACCTTACCTTACCTTATGCTATTTACCTTATCTTCCTTACGCTACCTTACCTTACCTTACCTTACCTTATCTTATTTACCTTATCCTACTTTACCTTATCTTATCTTGTCTTCTTACTTGCTCACTTATTTCTTATCAAATTCCATTAATAAATCATTATCCTTTAATAATGATTTATTAATTTAATTAGCAAAACACCAAAATTTAATTTTACTTATATTTTCATCAATTTCAATCACTTGTAAATAAATGTAATGGAAATGAAAGAAAAAGGAGAACGAAAAAAAAAAATTAGGTTAAATTCAGTTCGATTTATTCATCTTGCAGGATTATTTGTACCACTTTTCAAAGAAATGAATTAAGAAAAAAAGGAAAAGAAAAAAAAGTAATTTTTTTAAAATTTTTTCTAAATTTATTTACTCAAAAAATTATTTATCAATACTTACTCATTATTGATTATATGTAATCGATAATATATTTAAATTCTATACCCAACAAATAAGTAATTATAAAGGCTGTAATTAATGATTTTCATTATAGCATAGTCGATTTATCATTAATTTTAATTTTTATTTTCATTAAAATTCATTTTTAATTTCTATAACTTTTAAAACATTTATTTTTTATCAAATTTTTTAAATAAACGACCATTTTTTCTTTTTTTTGTGCTACATTTTTGAAATTTTTATTTGAGTCAATTATTATTGTTATAAAATTTTTAAATCATAATTTATGAATTATAAGACAGAAAAAAAACGAAGTTATTTCCGGTCCGGTCCGGTCTTTCATTCCAAATAAATATCATTTCCTTTTTCTATTCTTTTTTCCGTCTTTTTGCTATTTGTATTTTCAGGAAATTTTCAATCTTTTTTTTGCCTTCCAAAATTACTAATAGTTTACCCATTCATTCATTCTTATCTTTGCCTTATCATTTGTAAAAATTTCAGCATAAAATCTTTCCTCTTCCATTCCGGTTATCAGATGAACCTGAAACAGGGCGGGGCGGGATGGGGCGGGAGAGAAAATTAAAAGGGAATTAATCAATCATTTGTTATTTTTGAAGGTAAAGAAATGGTAAGAATAGATAAGATTTTGCAGTATTGATTATTTTAATGATAATGTTATCGATGGGTCAATGTTGTGTGTGTGTGTGTGTTTTGTTTTTTTTTGTTTTTGTTTTTTAAAATAAGAGAGAGCGAAGATTACAAATCTTACTTATTAGTAGTTTAAACAAATGGATGAAATGAATTGAATTGACTTAAATTGAAATGAATTGAATTGAAATGAATTAGGTTGAGTTGAATTGAATTAGGATGAATTGGATTGGATTAAATTGAACTGGGTTGTGTTGAGCTGAATTGAAATGAATTGGATTGGAGTGAATTAAATCAGGTCGAATTGAATTGAAACTGAAGAGGATTGAATTGAATTGAATGAAATTGGATTGAACTGAATTGAATTACATTGGATAGGATAGAATAGGATAGAATAGAATTGAATTGAGTTGGATTGGATTGAATGGAAATGAATTAGAATGAATTAAATTGGTTTAATTGGATTGGATTAAATTGAGCTGGGTTGAATTGAATTGAATTGAAATTGAAGTAGAATAAATCAGATTTAATTGGATTAAATTGGATTGAATTGATATTAGATTGGATAGATATGGAATGATATTTGGTCTAACAACGATTGGAATTTTTGTGCATCAATAAAATCTAATAAATCCGGCACGTTTCCCATAATCCGGCACACTTGATCATTCATCAGGAAAATAATATGCCTTATGTCATAATTTAAAATTGTTCATTTTAACATTTCATTTATATATTTAGGAGGAAAATGAAAATAAATTTTGGAAGAGAATGGACATTGGTCAAAATTATTATAATTAATATTAAATAATTAATCCAATTGATTGAAAGCATTTCTTTTTCCTTCTTTTTTATCATAAATTTTAAGATTATTATTATCAATTTCAATCAAATAAAATCTTTAATACTCATTTTAAAGCTTTATATGGCCATTTTTCTCTTCATAAAAAGCCAGAAGAAGGCTATAAATGCTCACATACAGTATACACATGATTACTTACCTGAAAATGATACACACACACACACATACACATGCACACATATACATACCCGCGCACACACACACACACACACATATATATATACATATTCGCACATACACATACGCAAGATAGACACAGACATACACATATATACACACACACGGACAAACACGCATATATCACATATATATGCACATGCACACACATAAACACATACAAACATTCTGACATGCATGTATATAATACATATGGATATGCATGCATATACACATATATATGCACACACACACACACACACACACACATACGTACAGACGTACACATACACATAGAAAAGCTTATCTAGTAAGCAATATATAATTTATTAGATTTTAAAAGGCCTTACAATCGTTAGTGCATAGTCTTTACATTTAAGTTTAATTGAAATTTTTAATTTTAAAGTGAAATTTAATTTAAAATTTTTTTTTGCTATAAAAAAAAGACATTTTAACGAATCATCCAAATTTAATAAAATAACTAATATCAATTATATGTTGTTTTTCAAATTAAAATTAAAGAAATTATGAAATTAGTAAATGTATGCATGTCAATGCATGTGACCATACAGCGAAGGGATACTTCATGTATGTGTGTATGTATGTATGTATGTGTGTATGTATGTATGTATGTATGTATTTGTGTATGTATGTATGTATATATGTATGTATATGTAATTTGTATAATTTTACTTTTTTTTTTTCTGGCAATACGTGAGGATTCTTTTTTCAATTTGAAATTTCATTTTGTAATAAATCACACTATATTTACAGTATATCATTAAATATTGCTTGAAAAACATTCCGTGGAATTTTTTTTTCTTTTTTTTTTGTTACAAATGGATGTTTTACGTACAAAGTAAACATTTAATCATGAATATTTCATTTTATCATCAATTTACATCATCTATTATATGATCATTTAATAATGACATTAATTGTTATCACAATTATTGTCATCCTTTTTCTCTCCCTCTCACTATTAGTCATTCTTTTTTTTTCCATTTCAGTATTGGTCATTTTTTTTACCCCCTGATAATGGTCATTCTTTTATTACATTAACCATGATTATTATTGTTATTGTTATTGTTAATTATTATTATTAAT